CTGGTAGAGATGCAGTTATACAGTCTACCTGAGCCCCACAAACTATCAGCTAAAGAGAATAAATAGATTAAATTTCTGCACATTTGGCAGACTAACATTTTCAGATTAATTAAACAATAAAATATATTTATAGATTTATATATATATATATATTTATATATAAATATATATCTGTCACCATCAAAACACCACAAATCCCGCGAATGATTCACTTACTTATAAACCATTGAATCAGACACCGAAGCAGTTAGGCTCTAAATGAAGCTTCGGACGTCACTGATCACGTGACTCTGGCCAAACGAGTCAAGCTTCGACACAGTGCTTCTGAAGCAGTGTGGTGATTTTTTTTTTTGACACACTCCCCGGAGCATCAGCTTCAAGTGGGCCATCACTACCTCCGTGAGTCCTGCATTTTGGGTCCTCTCTTCCTGCCTGCCTGCACACAGCCATAACAATACCAGTAAGGCAGCAGATAGATACATGTGAAATTAAATAGGAAATTATTCTGTGAAAAACATCTTAGTGTTGTACATACAGCTGTTTGGCATACAGGTATGTGGAAAACCCTCACAATGCCTGGACTGGACTGTACAGCATCTCTGGACAAGAAAACAGAAGATGGCACTGGTCTGTGTCAGGGGTCAAGTTCAATAATACTGATGAAATATGGACAAGATTGGCTTAGAAAACTGTGTACGAATGGACAAACCAAACAAATGGAACGATGCTAGTTGTGCTAAAATGTACACATTTATCTGCTGTAATGGTAGAAACATTTGGCGATTAATGATCATCATTAAGGAAATATGGCTGATATGTTTGACAATTAAAATAAAATTCAAAATAAATCTGAAACTTAAATTCAGCTAGTATCATTTTTTTCCTTTTAAAGGAAAAAAAAAGCAAACAAGTTAAAAAAATTGCAATTTGGCCCCTTCAAAAAAAAAAAATCCTTCCAGCAACAGATCATTTTATGTAGGCAGTGCATTTTTGACAAGAGAGCTTGATGGTGGTGCCATCTAGTGTCCAAAGTATGATGGTTTTAGTTCAAATCATTTGGGTTGTATTTATACAAAAATACAAAACATATAAAACATATATGAAATTCACTTCTGAGAACTTAAATGTGGCAGCTTCTCTGAAGCAGTTTAACATAATACACATGTATCTTTATTTAAACAGGAAATCTCAGATAAAGATGTATTTTGGATGAGTGACTGGCAGCAGATTAAAAAAAGGCAAATAACTTATGATAAATAAGAGCACTTGGAGATCCTGTGAAAGGGAAAAGGCAAAAACTTTATTTTATGAATATTTTATTTCAACATGTTAACTTTAGCCTGTTATAATACCGCCATTGTGATGTCATGAGGTGACATACTGCATGGAAAAAAATAAAAAGGTGTTGTACAGCTGCTTGTGATGGTTCTCAGTCATCCAGGAGCTTGGAAAGAAAGCAACAAGATTTCCAGTTGCTTTCTTTCCAAGCTCCTTAGACTACTATGACAGCCAACACAAACATATTGCCTTGCACTTTGGGAGGAACAGCCTTCAGTTGGTGTGGCAATA